TTTTTTAAAATTGAGGTAAAATTCATACTACAGACTGTAGTCTTCACTCTTCATCAATACATCTTCAAATCATCCTCACTTTCAGCAAGAAAACTTGTGTCATCAGCCTATCACAGGTTGTTAATGATTCTTCCTCCAATCCTGATGCCACGTTCTTCTTCATATAATCCAGCTTCTCGGATTATTTGATCAACATACAAATTGAATCAGTATGATGAAAGGATACAACCCTGATGCACTCCCTTCTTGATTTTAAACCATGCAGTATCCCCTAGTTCTGTTTAAATGATAGCCTCCTGGTCTATTTACAGGTTCCTCATGAGTATCATTAAGTGTTCTGGAATTCCCATTCTTCTCAATGTTATCCGTAATTTGTTATGATCCACACAATCAAATGCTATTGCATAGTCAATAAAACACCGGTAAAATCTCTCTGGTATTCTTTGTTTTCAGCCAAGATCCACCTGACATCAGCAATGATAGCCCTCATTTTACATCCTCTTCTGAATCCAGTTTTCATTTCTGGAAGTTCTCTATCAATATACTGCTACAACCATTTTTGAATTATCTTCAGTAAGATTTTACTTGCATGTGATATTAATGATATTGTTTGATAATTTCCACATTCTGTGGGAACACCTTTCTTTAGAATGGGTACAAATATGGATGTGTTCTAGTCAGTTGGCTAGGTAGCTGTCTTCCAAATCTTTTGGCATAGCAGAGTGTGTGCCTCCAGTGCGACATCTGTTTGTTGAAATATCTCAATAGGTAATCTGTCAATTCCTGGAGCCTTGTTTTTTTGCCAGTCCTTCAGTGCAGCCTTGACTTCTTCCTTCAATACCATTGGTTCTAGATCATATGCCACCCCCTGAAATGGATGAAGATCTACCAGTTCTTTTTGGTACAGTGACTCTGTGTATTCCTTCCATCTTGTGTTGGTGCTTCCTGCATCATTCAATATTTTGCCCATAGAATCTTTCAGTATTGCAACTCAAGGCTTAATTTTTTTTCTTCAGTTCTTTGAGCTTGAGAAATGCTGAGCATGTTCTTCCCTTTCAGTTTTCTAACTTCAAGTGTTTGCACATTTCATTATAGTAATTGACTTTGTCTTCTCAAGCTGCTCTTTGAAATGTTCTGTTCAGCTCTTTTATCTTGTCATTTCTTCCATTTGCTTTAGCTACTCTCCATTCAAGAGCAACTTTCAGAGTCTCCTCTGACATCCATTTGGTCTTTTCTTCCTTTCCTGTCTTTTTAATGACCTCTTGCTTTCTTCATGGATGATGTTCTTGATGTCATCCCACAATTCCTCGGGTCTTCCATCACTGATGTTCAATGCATCAAATCTTTTCTTTTCTTTTTCTTTTTTTAATTTTAAGAGTTTGTTTTACACTCAATATTACATACACATTTAGTTTCACTCTCCATTTACCATCCCCAACCCTAACCCAGTCTCCTCCTCTCCCCATCAAATCTATTCTTTAGATGGTTTCTATATTCAGGAAGAGTATAATCAAGGTTATATTTTGGCTCTTGTGGACTTGTTTTAATTGTCTTCAACTTCACCTTGAACTTGTATATGAGCAGTTGATGGTCTGTTCCACAATCAGCTCTTGGCCTTATTTTGGCTGAAGATATTGAGCTTCACCATCTCTTTCCACAGATGTAGTCAATCTGATTCCTGTGTACTCCATCTGGTGAAGTTCATTTGTATAGCTGCTGTTAATGTTGTTGAAAAAAGGTATTTGCGATGAATAAGTTGTTGGTTGCACAAGATTCTATCATGTGATCTCCAGTGTTATTTCTATCACCAAAGCCATATTTTCCAACTACTGGTGATTCTTCTTTGTTTCCAACTTTTGCACTCCAATCACAAGTGATAATCAACACATCTTGATTGCATATTTGGTCAATTTCAGACTGCAGAAGTTGGTAAAAATCTTCAATTTCCTCGTGTTTGGCTTTGGTGATTGGTGCATAAATTTGAATAATAGTAGCATTAACTAGTGTTTCTTGTAAGTGCATGGATATTATCCTATCACTGACTGCATTGTACTTCAGGACAGATCTTGAAACATTCTTTGTGATGATGAATGCACACCATTCCTCTTCCATTTGTCATACCTGGCATAGTAGATCATATGGTTGTCTGATTCAAAACGGCCAAAACCAGTTCCTTTCAGCTCACTAATACCTAGGATATTGATCTTTATATGTTCCATTTCATTTTTGACAACTTCCAATTTTCCTAGATCCATACTTTGTACATTCCATGTTCTAATTATTAATAGATATTTGCAGCTGTTTCTTCCCATTTTGAGTCATGCCACATCAGCAAATGGAGGTCCCAAAAGCTTTACTCCATCCACATCAAGGTCAGCTCCACTCTGAGGCAGCTCTTTACTAGTCATATTTTGAGTGCCTTCCAACCTGAGGAGCTCATCTTCTGGTACTATATTGGACAGTGTTTTGGGCTATTCATAAAGTTTTCCAGTAATATATCAGACAGTGTTTCACTGCTATTCATAAGGTTTTCATTGGCCAATTCTTTGAGAAATGGATGGCCTTTTCTTTTTTCCAAGTCTGTCCTAGTCTAGAAGCTCCACTGAAACTTGTCTACCATGGGTAACCCTGCTGGCATTTGCAACACTGGTGGCATTGCCTCCAGCTTCATAGCAACATGTAAGCCACCACTGGATGACAACTGACAGGCAAGTTTGTTTCCCTTAGCTGTTCCAAACTGCTCTGCTCACTTTCTAGCCTCCCTTAAGACTGCTCCAAACCCCATGCCTGGGCTATCCTTTAAAGCCGCTGCTCCAAAAACCCCTGGCCATCTTGTCGAGGGGCTTCCTCTTTTTCACTAACTTTACCAAACATGATGTCCTTTTCTTGGGACTGGTTCCTCCAGGTAACATGTCCAAAATGAGGTGAAGTCTCTCAATCTTTGCGTCTATAGAATATTGTGGCTATACTTCTTCCAAGACAGATTTGTTCATTCTTCTGGCAGTCCATGGTATATTCATTGCCAACACTATAATTCAAAGGCATCAAATTCTTCTTTGGTCTTCCTTATTCATTGTCTAGCTCTCATATGCATATGAGGGAAATGAAACTACCGTGGCTTAGCCCAGGTGCACCTTAGTCCTCAAGGTGAGATCTTTGCTTTGTAATGCTTTAAAGAAGTCTTTTGTAGCAGATTTGTCCAATGCAAAATGTTGTTTGACTTCTTGATTGCTGTTTCCATGGGTGTTGATTGTAGTAAAGTAAAATGAAATCCTTGAAAACTGCAATCTTTTCTGCATTTATCATGATGTTGCTTATTGGTCCAGTTGTGAAGATTTTTATTTTCTTTATATTGAGGTGTAATCCATGCTGAAGGCTGTAATCTTTGGTCTTCATCATAAGTACTTCAAGTCCTCTTTGCTCTCAGCAGCAAGGTTTTGCCATCTGCATATCACAGGTTATTATTGAGTCTTCTTCCAATCCTGATGCCATGTTCTTCATATAGTCCAGATATAATATAGTCTATAATACAATATGTACTTATATTTCCTGTAATTTCCACATGGCTTACCATTTACTTGTAAAATTAGCTATTATTGGACTTTCCTTGTTCATTAACATAGCTGAGTTAATCTGAGGTAATTTATTATGTGTCCAGAGGAAAAGAATGTGGGTAGAAGAAGATACACAAGGAATGCCAGTGGTAAAGCTACCATTTATTCATATTTAGTTAAAAATCCTTTGAATCAAGCAGTGTTTCAGATAAATAAGACATGGTTTCTCTCAGGAACTCACATTTTACAAGGAGACACACACACACACACACACACACACACAGCCATTGAGTCAGATCCAACTCATAAGGAGAAAGATGAAAAAAAATTAATATTGTAAGAAGAGAGCAATGACAGATGAGTATAAGAAGTACCGTAGTTACACAGAAGTGATCATCTCTGCTTTGGAGATTCAGGGAAGGCTTCTCAGAGGGAGATAATGAAGCTCCCTCTTGAAAGATAAATAGGAGCTTGCTAGTTAAGTAATGTGTGGAATTGCATTCCTGAAAGTCAAAAGCTTGTGCAAACATGTGGAGGTATGAAACACTTAATAGTTTGATATTGCTGGATGGAAGGTTTTGCAGGGGGAAGCTGCAGGAGATGATACTGATGACCTGGGCCAATTGACCCAGATCATGAAGGACTTCCTATCCTATGCTAAGGAATTTGGAGATTATCTCTAAGTAGGGGAGAAATTTTGAAGGATTTTAACTGGATAAGGTGACTGCACTGGATACCTTCTGTTTGTCTCTCCATACACACTCTCCATCATCTTTGCTCTGCTCATTGCCTTAGAAGTCCAAATTCTATGAACCATATTTGTTTGCCACCTTGCCCTTTGACCTTTGGTTGGGTTTGATCACTGGGGAGCAGTGGCAGGGAATCAGAGGAAGGGAACACAATAAACTTAGGCAGTGCATTCCCTGAACTCTCTATTTTGGAGTCACCATGGCTTGTCTTCATTAGTCGGCCAAAGGTCATAGCTCTTGTTAGGTAGCCCTCTCCACACAGTTCCTTTCTTTCCTTCATAATTTATTTCTCCTCTTGCCTCACTGAGTATCTCATTGGCACTAGTCTGAGGGTATTTTATTGTCCATATGATTTCGCTAAACCCTGCAAACGTTTTGAAACAATCTCTGTATTAAAATTTCCATAAGTTATCTGAGTGCACCATATGATTTCTACCAGGATCTTGATTGAAATAATGATAATATTTTTATGTTAGAATAATCACTTAGGAAGCAGAGTAGAATATGGATTGGAAATGAGGACAGAAAGAAGTAGAGAGAACAGAGAGGAAGACAGCATAGTAATTCAGAGAAGAGATGGTTGGCCCTGCACTTAGATTACAGCAGTTTTGATAGAGGAGAGGGCAGATACACAATATATTTGCAGACAGAATTAACATTATTTGGTGCAACCTTTGTAAACCAACAAGATTCATCCTTACCAAATACTTATTAGGTAAGGGGAAATTCTACCCTGCAGTTTATCCCATAAGTTAAAACAAAGTGAAGATTTACAGAGAAGTAGAAGAGAGGTAAGTAGGACAGGTGCCCCCCAAACTTTTATATGATGTGACATGGAGGCAGGCTTGGAGGAATCATGAACAATTCGTGTTTTTAAGGGCTTCAGTGTCCTGTCCCACTGAGTCAGGATGGCGTTTCTGGCTCCATTCCATTTTCCAGGACCCATTAGACGGTACTGGTAAGGAGTACATGGTCCAAAGAAAACTTCCCAAGCTAGTCTGGGATCCTTGAGGAACAGAAGTGGAACATTGGGCTTTGTGCCTATGCATGTAGCGAGGTCATCCATGTAGCGGATGTAGTTGAGTTTGTCTTCGCTGGTATCTTTAATCATACCTCTAAAAGGAAAAAGATGAATCACTTTTCATGAGTCTCCCCCAACCTGCATTTTCCAAGTTATATGATTCACCCTTCCTCCCACCTTTTTATTACTTTTTTATTTTTAGCATAATAAACCATGTTTGGGATTTATTATTATTATTATTTTTTTTCATGGTGGGAAGAAAAAAAATAAGCGTTTACCTGGAGAAATGAGGGCAATTAATTTGGTTGAAGGGAATGGTAAAAGAAGAGCTTTAAATAATGCTTTAGGTTCTTGAATTTGATATGAAGGTTAAGTCTGATCAGTATAATATTTGTTGAATGAATGAACATGATCAGAAAGCACCACATATGTGGACACCTGAATTATTTTTACTGATGTCAGTTGTGAGTTGAGAGGGCCATACTTGGTGTGTCAGCATTGAACATGACATAGATACGAATATAAATGTGTTTGAAGGCTTCACTTATACTTATTTATGTTGCTTATAAACTTTTATTATGTCCCAATATCATTCATTCATTCACTCAACATAAGTCTCTATTCATTAAGTATTAAGGTGCTCAGGACTCAACACTGAACAAGACAAAGTTCTTATTCTCTAGGACCTTACAGTCTAATTGGGAGAAGGAGAAACAGAAGACTATAAAAAAGAACAAACAAATAGATGTGTAATGGATCAAACAGTAATGAGTATTATGGAGAGATATAAAGGAGAGTGCTATGTATTGCATTGTGTCACCTAAAAAGCTATACTGAAGTACTGATACCTGGTACTTATGAATTGACTTTGATTGGAAATAAGGTCTTTGGAGATGTTATCAGTTAACACAAATTCATACTAGAATCCTACTGAATATGAGTGGTGTCCTTTATAAAAGAGAAGATACAGACAGACCCAGAAGAGGGACGATAACCAGGTGAGGATGGAGGCACAGATTGCAATGCTCAGATAGCCACCATCACCAGAAGCTAGGACAAAGGCATGGAGCAGGTTCTCAGGCATAGCCCTCAGATGGAATCAACATGGTTAATACCCTAATTTTAACCTCCTCGCCTTCACAACTGGAAGACAAGAAATTTCTGTTGTTTAAAGCCACTCAGCTTATGGTACTTTGTTGTGGCAGCCCTAAGAAACTAATACAGAGGTAAAGGGGAGAGTCAGTAATGAGACTGGGTAGTTTGGCTTTTTCTACAGTGTTGCCAGGGGAAGTTTCTTTCTTGTGAGGTGATATTCAAGCAGAATGAGCCATGCAGATACCTGGGGAAACAACATTCCAGGTAGATGGAATAGCTAGTGCAAAGGCTGGGAGAGGGGTTATGCTTGGTATGTCTGAGGAACAGCAAGGAGGCTGGAGTGACTGGAGCAGCATGGATGAGATTGGAGCACACTATGCAATGAAGGCACAGAGAATGCTGAGTGTCCTACAGGAGACTGCAATGAAGGTCCTGAGTGAAATGGGAACCAATCAGAAGATGTTGAACAGGGCAGCAACATGATGTGCCTCACTCTAGCACCTCTGTCAAGAATAGACTATAGAACAGTAAGGGTGAAAGCAGGGAAGATCAGTTAAGAGGTAATTACAATCCTGGTGAGAGATAATGGTAGCTTGGTTTAGGGTGGTAGCTGCAGCGTAGCGAGAAATGTCTGGATTCTGGATTTATTTTGAAGGTAGGAAGGAGTTGAAAGGATTTGCTGATGTGGGGTGTGAGAGAAAAAGAGGAAAAAATGATGATTCCAAGGCTTTTGACTGACTAACTGAAATAAGGAGCCATTTACTGAAATTGGGGAAGTCTCAGAGCAGCCCATTTGTAGGGTGGTGGGGTGGTACAGAGGATCAAGAGTTTTTTGTTTTAGAACCATTGAATTTGAGATACCCTACCTAAGGCATTTGACTGCTAACCAGAAGGTGAGCAGTTCAAACCTACCAGCTACTCTGTGGAAGGAAAACGGTGCAATCTACTTCTGTAAAGATTTACTGCTTCAGAAACCCAGTGGGGATCACTGTGAGTTGGAATTGAGTTGATGGCAGTGAGGTTTTTTTTTGGGGGGGTATTAAATATCTAAGTGGGAATATCCAGAGGGAATTGGAACAGGAGTCTGGTGTACCAGAGAAAGATTTAGGATAGAGATAAAAGTTTGGGAACTAAAAGTATATGATGGTATTTAAAGCCACAGACCTTGATGAGACCATCTAGGAGTGAGTATAAATATAAGTTAAAAGAGGTCTGAGGGCTAAGTTTGGGGTTCACCAATTTTTAAATGTGAATAGAAGAACTTCCAGCAAATAACACAGAGAAGGAGTAGCTAGAGAAATAGGAGGAAACTGAAGACAGACAGAGTTCTGAGGCCATATGAAGAAGGGATTGGCCATCTGCTGGGGGCCAGGCTGTGTGTTCCACTAAGACTTAGTGTCCCAAGACATGATGTGTCTAAGGCAACATATCCAGTTGAAAGCAGAGTTAGGACTCAAAAAAATTCTTTTGACTCCTTATCAGAGTTATTTCCAACCTGCCATGCTCTGGTGGTGCAGTGCCTAAGGCATTTGACTGCTAACCAGAAGGTTGGTGGTTCAAAGTCAACAGCAGCTCCATGGAAAGAAGAAGAGGTAATTTCCTTCTGTAAAGATTTGTTGTTTTTGTTATGTGCCGTTGAGTCAGACCCGACTCATAGTGACTCTTCCTTGGGTTTCCAAGGCAGTATCACTATGGAAGTAGATTGCCTAACCTTCTTTCTGAGGTGTGGCTGGTGGGTTTGAACTGCCAGCCTTCTGGTTAGCAGTCAGATGCCCTAGGCACTACGTTACCAGAGCTCCTTCCATGATTTATCACATTGGAAACCCAATGGGTGTTGCTATGAGTCAGAATTAACTTGATGGCAGGGGTTTTTTATTTGTTTGTTTGTTTTTAAATATACTTCTTCTTTCTCTAGGAATAGCTTTTTCATTAAAAAGATTTTTGTTTGTTTTTTCTGGTAATGGACTATGTTGCTAAGTTTTCCCTATAGCAAGCACTATTTCATACCTTTTTATGAGCTGCTCCTTTTTAGTAGCATCAGCCATCAATTTTTGGGATGGAGGGAGCTCACAGAGTCCTATGAGAAAAATTAGAAACATCAGTAAAATCACATGTAGCTTTCCTTTTATTTAAGTTCCCTTCCACCTCATTTCTGGTTTCTCACTCTCCTAGCCTCAAAACATACGATGGTCAAAACCTAGAATAGAATTGGAGATCAGAGGGAAGTTTCCTGGAGATAAAACCCTTTTCCAAACTCACTCAACTGCCAGAATTGTGAGAACGGTCCAGTGGCCTGGGCCTCAGCTTGCACCACAGCCATTCCTCGTTAGCAGCCCCCAGATGCATGCCCTGTCTTCTTCATCTACCTCACACCAAGAAGCATGCCTAAAGGATCAGCAGAAGGCAGACAACCCCAGGTTTTAAGACATGGAGTCACATCTGCTTTCAGTGCGTGCCTCTGGCTAGGAGATGAAGGGTAGCCTTGTTGTTGTTGTTGTTATGTGCCGTCGAGTCAGCCCTGACTCATAGCGACCCCTCCTTGGGTTTCCGAGGCAGTATCACTACGGAAGTAGGATTGCCCAACCTTCCTTCCGAGGAGTGGCTGATGGGTTTGAACCGCCAGCCATCTGGTGAGCAGTCAAGTGCCTTAGCCACTATGCTACCAGAGCTCTAGAAGGTTCTATTTACCTAGATCTCACACACCTGAAGAATTTAGAATATAGATTTTTTTGATATTCTTTTCAAATAAAATTTGTGTGTGTGTTTTCTAAAGCTATTAATTGATTAAATGTAAACATTTAAAATGGGGCCTGTTTTTATAACCCTGTCTTAATTTCCATTATATGAGGGAGCCTCCAACACAAAGAAGCCTGGCAGTCTCTTCATCTCAAAGAGTCTGCTTGAATGATTATGAGGATGTCCCCATTCTCAATCTTCTACCTAGTCCATCTCAGCACTTGGTTTCTACTCTTCCTGCTCTTCTAAACTGGATGAAACTCGTTCTTACTTCAACTCCTTAGATCTTGGACATTTTCTACAGTTAGCTGGCTGGCCCAGAGTCTAAAACTCCACTCTGTCCTCTGGGTGTCTAGAACCTTATTCACTCACTCTTATTTTATGAACTGACTTCCTGGTCTCCAGCTTCTATTGGCCAATTGTGACTTAGACATTCCACCCTGTTTAGTATCCTATTTGGGTCTGGTCAGCTGCCCTGTCCTGCCACTTTCAGGTACTGTGTTCTGACCCTAGGACAGAAGTTTACTCTCCACAGGGCATAGTTCTAACTTAGCTTTGTGGCTTACTTGGTACCACATCACTTTAACCTGTAAAAAGCTTGCAAAACTTTACTGGTGGTTTCTGGATTACTTTGTGGAGGCTTTCCAGCAAAGTACTCAAATTACTCCTATGGTGCTATCTAATCAAGTTTCATTTCAGCAGCTCAATCATTTTGATAAGCATTTGGAACTCAATATAAAATATTTTTAAAAACCAGGTACTTAAGAGTCTCCTATGGTTTTAATATAATTGAATAATGCTGTGAAAGCACTTAATTGTCTCTTAAGAATAAAAAAATTTGTGATAATTTAATGAAGGATTATGGAATATTTTCTGTAAGAGAGATTTCCTAAATTCCCCCTTCCTCCCCACTCAAATAACATGTTTGCCAATTTAAGAGAGCATACAGTTTTCAAGTATGGTTTATATCTGTTCCATTTGTGGTAGTAGTCAACACTGTTATAACAATATTGGTAGGGCAGCGGTTAAAACACTTGGTTGCTAACTGAAAGGTCAGTGGTTTGAACCTACTAGCTGCTCCATGGGACAAAGATGGGGCAGTTAGCTTCTGTAAAGATATAGCCTGGAAAACTCTGAGCCATTTCTACTCTGTCCTATAGGGTTGCTATGAGTCAGAATTGACTTGACCACAATTTTTTTTTTTTTGTCTTATATCTTATATGCTATTTACAATTTACTGATAATTGTTTTATCCATTGTTGTTGTTGTTGTTATGTGCCATAGGGTTGGACCCGACTCATAGCGACCCCTCCTTGGGTTGCCGAGGCAGTATCACTACGGAAGTAAATTGCCCAACCTTCCTTCCGAGGAGTGGCTGGTAGGTTTGAACCACCAGCCTTCTGGTTAGCAGTCAAGTGCCTTAGGTACTATGCTACCAGAGCTCCTGTTTTATCCATTAAGGACAGTGTTATGCTAAAGGACAGCTGGTTGGCCCAGTTGTGATTATTGTTTATGTTTAAAAATAATACAACTGCAATTCTTTAAAATACTTACTAACCAAAACCTGTTCTATTTTAAACCAATTGCTGTAGAATTGATTCTGACTCATGGTGTCCTCATGTGTATCAGAGTAGAACAGTGCTCCTTAGGATTTTCAATGGCTGAACTTTCAGAAGCAGATTGACTGCTTTCTTCCTAGGTGCCTCTGGGTAGACTCGAACCTCTAACTTTTTGGTTAGCAGCTAAGCACACTGATGGTTTCTATTGCACAGGGACTTTGTTGTTTTTGTTGTGTGCCATGGAGTCAATTCCTACTCATAGTATACTTTGGAGTGGTATAATAAAGGAGCTCTGGTTGGTGTAATAGTTAAATGCTCAGATGTTAACTGAAAGATTGGCAGTTCAGATCCACCAGCTGTCCTGTGGGAGAAAAGACCTGGTGATCTGCTCCCATACAAATTACAGCCTAGCAACCCTTTAAGGCAGTCTTACTCAGTCACATGGCATTGCTGTGAGTCAAAATCAATTTGATGGCACCTAGCAACAATATTAGCAATTGTAAGAGCAGCGGCCATTACATTCTGACCATTTATTATGTGGCAAGTACTGTGTTAATTGCTTTGCAGACATTCATTTTACAAAATCATTATGAAAGAGGTTTTATCCTCCCCATTTTACAGTTAAAGAAGCTGAGATTTAGGTCACACAGCTAATCACTTTCAGAGTTGAGGACTGACCCTGGTAGCACCTCTGATCTTACAGTGGTAACTGAAACTAGTGTTCAGAGTCTAAAATATTTCCTACAGGTTACCGTGTCTTCGGATCTTAACTTTGTTCATACTATGCATTATTCTAATACATATCTTTGGAAGTAATGTAAAATTCTACATCTAATAATAATTGGAAAGATCTAGGAGTAAATAGAACAGAATAGAGTGGAACCTGAGACTTCTAATAATTTCGATTAATCTGGGAAATCTGATTTTGTTCTGTTGCCCAAATTTATTCCATTCACAGAGTCCAACATCTTTATCCAGTGACACTGAATGACATAGCACACTCATCATAATATTAAGCAGATATAAAATCAACTGTTCATTTTTTTGATATGTTTTATGTTACTTTGGGAGCTCTGGTGTCATAGTGCCTAAGGCATATGACTGCTAACCAAAAGGCCGGTGGTTCAAACCCACCAGTCACCCCTCAGAAGGAAGATTGGGCAATCTACTTCCATAGAGATACTGCCTTGGAAACCCAAGGAGGGGTTGTGGTGAGTTGGATCCTACTCTATGGCAGTGAGTTTGGTTTTGGTTTTATGTTACTTTAGCACACATCAGTTTGGTTTCAAATAAATAAAAAATCTGTTGCCACTGAATTGATTTTGACTAATGGTAATCCCATGTGTGTCAGAGTAGAACTGCACTCCATAAGTTTGTCAATGGTGGTGTAGTGCCTAAGGCATTTGACTGTTAACCAGAAGGGTGGTGGTTCAAACCCACCAGCCACTCCTCGGAAGGAAGGTTGGGCAATTTACTTCCACAGAGATACCGCCACAGCACAGAAACCCAAGGAGGGGTTGTTCTTAGGTGGAACTGAATTGACAGCAGTGAGTTTGGTTTTTGGTTTTGAGTGCTCTGATGGAAGTAGTTCACCAGGCCTTTATTCTGTGGTTCCACTGGGTGGATTTGAACCACCAACCTTTTGGTTAATATCTAAATGCAAACTGTTTATACCACCCAGGGAAATAAATAATAAGGCATTCATTTTAAGATTCAGTTAATCACATATGACTTTCAAGAGAGTCAGGGTACCTTTGAACACTCTTGTGGCCCACCGTGCTTGGAGTTCTGTGCAAGATAAGATAGATCCTTTAAGGCTGATGAGGCCAATGATAGCTAATGTTGGCTTTTCTAGATTTGAGGGAAAGACTTGCTTGTATAGGAATATCTTCTTTGTACAGAGGCTTTTTAGAGGTTCTTCAAGAAAGGGAAAGGAAAATGTATATCCTGTTGTGAAGATCACAATGTCTATATTTTCTTCTGTTGTCCCATCTTCAAAGACAGCTGAGGTTTCTGTAAACTCTTTCACACTGGTTTTCATAGTGACTGCCCCACAGAGGATACAGGTTGGTAGTTCATCATTCACAATTACTTTTGATTTTTTCCTTTGACACAGAGGAGAAAATTGTTCACAACAAGTATATCTAGAAGACACTTAAACAAATTATTTATCTGATCAATCCAGGGAAATGATGTGCCAAACCAAGGGAGTGAATTGACTAATGTCTAATTTTAAGTTGTTTATCTGACTTACTTTCTTTTTCAATATTTATTTGGTGAAAATATACACAGCAAAACATACAACCGTTCAACAATTTCTACATGTACAGTTCATTGACATAGATTACATTCTTCATGTTGTGTCATCATTCACTTTATCTCTACCCAAATTATTTCACTACTATTGAGTTAGATTCAGTGCCCACTGAACTTCTCATTTAAGGAGCTCTGATGTATCTGTGGTTAAGGCATTGGGCTGCTAACCAAAATGTCGATGGTTTCAACCCACCAGCTGCTCTGCAGGAGAAAGATGAGACAGTCCTCTTCTATAAAGATTTACAGCCTTCAAAACACTGTAGGGGTCACAATGATTTGGAATTGACTGGATGGCAGGGTTTTTTTTTAAACTTGTAATCTATGCTTTAGACTTATTGTTGTCAGTTTAATCTCACATAGATAATTCTTTAAAAGAGGGTGGCTAAGACACTTGCCTGCTAACCAGACGGCTGGCGGTTCAAACCCACCAGCCACTCCTCGGAAGGAAGGTTGGGCAATCCTACTTCCGTAGTGATACTGCCTCGGAAACCCAAGGAGGGGTCGCTATGAGTCGGGGCCGACTCGACGGCACATAACAACAACAACAACATGTTTAAGGTAAACTATTCTTTATTAATTAAACTGTTATTTGGTTTAACGATAACTTCAGGGGATAGTTTTGGTTCAAAGTTTAAAAATTATCTCAGGGTGTTAGATTAGGGGTTCTTCCAGTCTCAATGGGTCCAGTATTGACTTACTTTTGTTATAACATGTTTTATTTTGCTGCTCCCAGTAGAAGGCCCGTGGAAAATGACTAAAATTATTTTTCCTGCCAGGAATCTAAACTTCTATATCTCTTGGGATTAATTTCTAGGGCAATATATTTTCTCAGATCATCAGGATAGAATACACAACAATCTTTTTTGATAATCAGTTTTGGGTCTCATGTCATCCAGTTCTCAAGAGAATGAAACTAGACAAAGAGGAGATCAGCAAAATCGTTTTGAGTAAAAATTTTTAAATAAATTTATTTATGCTGATATTTTTATTGTGAATATCATTCTATTTAATTACACTAGACATAATGTCTTTGAAAATTTACATATCAAATGATATTTTACCATTGACTTTTCTTATAAGTTGAAAGATATTTTACCACAGAAGAATAACTGGGTCAAGCATATACTACAAATCACATTTAATGACCTCACATGCATTTCAAAGATTTTTCTTTTCCTTGCTATCTTAGTTATCTAGTGCTGCTGTGACAGAAATAGCATAAATGGGTGGCTTTAACAAACAAATTTATCTTCTCATAGTTTAAGAGGCTAGAAGTCAGAATTAAGGGGGCTAGGAGCTCTGTGGCATAGTGCCTAAGGCATTTGACTGCTAACCAGAAGGCTGGCAGTTCAAACCCACCAGCCACTCCTCAGAAAGAAGGTTGGGCAATCTACTTCTGTAGTGATACTGCCTTGGAAACCCAAGGAGGGGTTGCTATGAGTTAGGAACAACTCAATGGCAGTGAGTTTGGTTTTTCTGGAGCTCACGGAAGCAAGACTGGGCAATCTACTTCCATAAAGATTTATTGCCTCGGAAATTCAATGGGGGTCGCTATGAGTTGGAATTGACTTTATGGCAGTGAGTTTTTTGTTTGTTTGTTTGTTTTTTGGTTTAGCTCTTGGGGAAGGCTTTCTCTTCTGCTGAGATCTGGAGGAAGGTCCTTGTCTTTTTGAGCTTCTGTTCCTGTGGATCTTCACATGACTCGGCATCCCTTTTCCCCTCCCTCTGCTTCTCTTGATTGCTTGTTTAATCTCTTTTAGATTTCAAAAGAGATTGATTTAAGACATACCCTACACTAATCCTGGCTTATTAACATAACAAAGACAGCCCATCTCCAAATGGGATTATAACCACAGGCATATAGGTAAGAATTACAATACATATTTTTGGAGAACACTGTTCAATCTATAGCACTTACCAATGTGCAGCTCTATAGAGGTGTATATTAAACTATAAAATTCCAGACATCCTATTAGAAATTCCGATCTCTAATCACCAAGCCAGAGCAGACATTTATTATATTGTAGTGAGAACTGACCATCTGCATTCACTGATACTACAAATATTCTATTCAGTTGCTATTGAGTTGATTCCAACTCATGGCAACCTCATGTGTTTCAGAGTAGAACTGCACTCCGTAGGATTTTCAAGGCTGTGCCTTTTCAGAAGCAGGTTGCCAGGCCTTTCTTCCAAGGTGCCTCAGGGTGGGTTCAAATTGCCAAACTTTCTGTTAGTTGTTGAGTGCTTAACTGTCTGTGCCACCCAGAGTCTCCATTTCTAGATGGTAGCAACTTCAAGATGTTTCCAAACCAATCCAAATTTCCAGATTTTCAACCTGGATATGAAAGTTTTTCATCCTTCATTTTTCTGTAGCCTCATGAATCATTACTTTTGTTGCCATACAGAAAATACTTCTATATCAAGAACTGCTGTGGTATAGACATTGTTTAAAAAAGTAAACTTAGAACAGGGTAAGGGCAATGCTACAATTATGGAACATTTTGATTTCTTTGATTTAATCATTTTCCATTAAATAAAAAAAATTCAAGTACCCCTTTATAATACTTAATCCATAATTCTCATGGTTTAATCTTTTATTCATCTGCCTCTCTTGAATCCAGGTTAGTACACATGAAGGTAGAACTTGTTCAACAAAATTGTAGCATCTTCTTGTAAACATCATATTAAGAGGGTAGCCCCCACCTGAAGATCGGCCAGTAACCCAGGTACCAGTTCTAGTACTGAGAAGTACCTAAAAAGTAAGGCAAGAAGGATAAGTACATCATCCTATCATTTTGTAGTATTTTTCCTTAATGTATTTCAAATGGTCTTATAATAGCACTTTATACCTAGATTTATAAATGACTATCTATTCCTATTGCTGTCATTATTTTCACACATCACTTTTACCTGATCTATGTAGCTATTAGGAGCTCTGGTAGCGTAGTGCCTAAGGCCCTTGACTGCTAACCAGAGGCTGGCGGTTCAAACCCACTAGCCACTCCTCAGAGGGAAGGTTGGGCAATATACTTCTGCAGTGATACTGCCTCAGAAACCCAAGGAGAGGTTGCTATGAGTCGGGTCTGACTCGAAGGCATATAACAACAACAACATGTAGCTATTAAATATTTTCAGCATATTTAATATAAAGAATTGTAATCCTTGTAATATATAGTGTTACTCTGGCATTTTTTTTTACATAGAACTAATATAGAATTGAAAGTGAATATTTGGGAAAGCAATTTTAATTAAATTAAGGCATATTCTTACTAGAGCTAATCATTGTCCTATATAATTCATGATATATTTGTGAAACTATGTTTGAACTTTCTAAAATCATTATGGATGTTTCTTGGGCAAGGTATGGGTTGTTTTGTTTTAAAATAAGGTACAAGTCTGATTTCTAATAGAAAATTTGGAGATGGTTAGAAAACATCCTCCCTTTATATTCGTAGAGAATTATAAAGGAAGAGTGTAAAAATTTGTCTGTTGTTTGTTGTTGTTGTTTGCCGTCGAGTTGGCCCCGACTCATAGCGACCCCTCCTTGGGTTTCTGAGGCAGTATCACTACGGAAGTAGGATTGCCC